GAGATAAAGAAGGAGAGCGTACAAGGGTAAAATGCTGAAACCATGCTGCAGTATTAGTTCGAATTAATAAACTTTTCCCGTTTTATTTTGACGATCCTTTTGCAGTATTTATGACTTAGCTGGTCTTACCTTGTTCATATCAAAACAAACCGCATGGTCCTACATGCCCTACCTGAGTAATGAGCGGGTGGAAATCTGGTATTTCGCCGAAAACCCGCAGCTCGAGCATCAGTGTGTAACTGCTCCTCTCTCCCGAAGTGTTTAACTTGGGAACCTCGCGTGCCCGAATGACGTTCTTGTTATTGATTGCATAGTGATGACCCCCCCGCACGCTTGCTCACCTCACGCTCCACCTCACGCTCGACGATGTATAGTAAAACTCTGGTGAGTATTACGTGAGTCAGCGCACTTGTATGCCGGCTACACAGCGGCGACCGGCAAGCCACACAGCTGGAACAACTATCGAGGAGACAGTCGCAGTTCACGACTGATCTCGAGTCTGGTTATCGGCAAAAATAGCCAGATTTCCACCCGCCTCATTATCTCAGCGTAGGGGCTATCGATAGGGACAGTGCGTTTGTTTTATATGAACAAGGTAAGACAGCTAATCAATATACTGCGCAAAGATCGTCAAAATAAAACGGAAAAGTTATTAATTCGACTAATTCTGCAGCGATGGTTTCCAGCTTTACCCTTGGTTTCGCTCTCCTTCTTTATCTGCTTTGATCACCTTAATAATACTTCTAAACACTGTCACTTCTAGCAAACAGTACCTTGACTTTACTGACTGAATTATTACTGACTTACTGTAATTCGTGTGATCATCATTTAATTGTCATCGTGTTCTAGTAGCTTTTAAGGGCTATTTATACCAATTTCTATTGAGGTTTTGCCACAATATTGATGTACAAATTATCTTTTTTATTTACAAGGCAAGGATTCTTATCAAAATTCAAGGACATTTTTCATGAAAATCTCAGAATATTTTATTGAAATTCAAGACATTTTCATTGAAGTTTTATTTTTTTTTTCGGTTTCTTCAAACGACATTTTCATGAAATTCAAGAATAATTTTCATGATAATTCAAAGCACTTTTCAAAGCACAAAATAACATTGTCTAAGTGCACAGTACTTTTTTGAAAGGACTCCCCTCAATTCAAGGCTTTTCAAGGACTGTGTGCGAACATTGTGTATTGTTTGAAACAGTTTTGTGTTTGTGTGAATAGATTTGAGCTTATGATTCTTTTAAACATAATGCAAATGTTATTCAGTCACTAAATCGTGTATTTTGATATCAAATGTTTATGATAATTGGGTTTATTCCGACCTCAGGGCGTGACTTTGTAATTGTTGGGGGTTAAAAAATATGAGACAAAATCTGATGAAAAATGTGGACTGGCGGGCTATAGATAGGCCAATTTAAGAGGCAAGCATGATTATGTACTATAGTATTAGTTGGAAGAATCAAAGGATGAAAAAACTGTTTATTCTACTCAAAAGTAACAAAAATATCCAAAAAACTATCAAAGTCATCCCGGTTGCCGGTACGTATTATGTAGGAATGTGACAATGTAGTAAGCAGTGCCGCTTGAAAAGTGACAGTCGTGCTTGCGCGGATCTTGATGTGATCCAGGTAAGTTTTAGAGGTTACATGCAGTAATTAAGAATGGGGTTATTAAATTAATCCAGGTATGTTTTGTTCTGTGTATGAATTCCGATAAAATGTCTGATAAAATGTCCTTGAATTTCCGATAAAATGTCCTTGAATTTCCGATAAAATGTCCTTGAATTTCCGATAAAATGTCCTTGATAAGTCCTTGAAAAGTCCTTGGAACAAATTTCAGTCCTCTTGTATGAACCATGATACAAATATTTCGATTTTCTGAAAACTTTAATGTTACACGGTAACTCTCAGACGAATGTCTTTATTGATTGTTCGGAAACTACTTCTGACAGTTGCAAAATGTAGTTGCACTGTATGCCCCTTCGTCCTGAAGACAAAGTTCATGAAACCAATTGTCACAATTGTCGCACTGTTCCCAGTCGATACTCCTCAACCTCCCGTAGTTGAAGCTGTGGCAGATTTGACAGGTTTCTTCTTCTTCATTGTCATGTTCGCATTCATTTTCGTATTCTTCAGAACTGGATGATACCGGTACTTAAATTACCTTGCATTGTCGACCTTTCTTTCCAGACTTGTGGAAATAAGTTGTGGATATAGAAATCAGTTAACCCTAACCCTAATTCTAACCCTAACCCTATCCCTAATTCTAAAATAAAACAAAATTAGCCAAAAATAATAATAAATAAAATGGGAGAGACAAAATTAGCCAATCAGAGCCGTCCCCTAGCGGATCACTATCTCTCCCCTGAGCAAAATTCCTTACTAGGGTAGCTTTGACATTCAGTGTGACTTTGATAACCAATTATCAAAGTCACCCTGACTGTCAAAGTCACCCCGGGTGACGGTACTACTTGTACTGCAGATGGGGTCGTTGTCGTATCAGGTACTACAGATTATATGTACCCGAGGTAGTTTTAGGTTGTTTAGTATTATGTTTATATTTTTATATGAGGTATGGTTAGGGTTAGGGCTAGGGTTAGGGTACACTTCTGTACTGTAGTACAAGTCTCTTTGTGTATACATATATGTACCTCGGGTACATATCTGTAGTACCTGATACGACAACAACCCCTTGAGCACTAGTACTAGTAGTAGTAGTACTAGTACTAGTAGTAGTAGTACTAGTACCAGTAGTACTAGTAACTAGGCATACTAGTACTCTATTCGACTCTAATCACACTCAGATGCTACACTCTTACACAATGATATTATAGTCAAAATGTTCTTTGATTTGTTTACTTATTCTTGGTTAGATACAATAATGTAATCCAACAAGACCGTAGAGTAACCCACTGAGTAAATGACGAGGTCTAAGAGACGAAACGAGAACAACAAAAAACAAAAATGAAATAAAGTGTCATTTCATCAATGTTTGTAAATTTCATTTTTCATTTTTTTTATTTTTTATAGTTGATTATTTATTTTCATAATCGAACACTTAGTCGGTTGCTGCAAACGACTGACTTTCGATTATAATCGATTATCGGGACAAGACCGTTTACCTACAAAAACACAAATGGAAAGCAAATTAGAAGCTTCCAAAGATATCGAGCTTTCGAAGCAGAAAATGTAATTATGAGTCATTATGTAATTATGTAATTATGTTTTTACAGAAGAAGATGCACTTATGCCAAAGAAGGGTTCATCTCCTTCTAACATGTTTAGTACTTTTCATATTAGAACCACCAGTGTGACAAAGCAACTGCATGATCTGAACACCAACACAGCTTGTGCTCTACTGCTGAAGACACCTTTTCTAATGCTGACTTTTATCTTCTAGCAATCTTATGACACAGGAACCATTCCTAGTGATTGGACTAACGCACTAGTCAGCTCAGTGCACTAGCACTAGTCACTAGCACAGTGTTCAAGAAGGGCGTTAAAAAAGCATTAGCAAACCAATCCCCCATCTCATTGACTTGCCTTTGATGTAAGTAATGAAGCACATCATGCCCTGGCAGCGAATAATTGCCCATACATACAAACAACATAGCTTTTAGAAGCAAAATCTGGATCCTGATTTTATGTGCATGCCTTTGGAAGCAAGTAGCTCATCTAGCCACAACTGTTTCATAATGAATTAATATTTGCACCCTGTCTCGCAGAGCTGTATCATGTATGCATAGTCTATCAGGAAGTGCAGATTAGGGTATGCGTGTAGGCAGTGGTGCCCACAGATAGAAGCACTGGAAGCACAGTGCTTCCAGTAAATTTTGTGTTAAAAAATGTTGTTCCTAAATCTCTCTCTACCATTCAAGAAATTTCAAGGGGGGCATGCCCCCAGACCCCCCTAGCATGCAGCGCGCCTACGGCGCTTGCTTTTTATTATCACTGAGGATTTTATCCTTCTGTGCTTCTACTTTCTTAAGATCTGTGGGCGCCAGTGCATGTAGGTATGGACTCATTCTAACGTACTATTGCCTTTATACTACCTTTGAGGTAATAGATTAAGTACTTTATACTGCTACATGATTCACCCCATTGGCCTACCTATTCCCACTACTGTGTATGGTTTGGTTCATTGACCTGTCACGTGGTTCTTACATGTATATATATATATACGTGTACACGTAGGTAGGACTGCCATTGCTGCTAATCTAAAGCCAGCGAATATGGAACGAGGAGCAAACATGGTATCTACAGGGCATCTGCTGGTACTGTGTATGCTTTTGTCAGTTGCACTTGCTGCAATCACAAATAGCTTTGTTCGAGAGAATGTCATTGAAGAATCACAAGTCGGAGTGCATTGGGCTTTGATTGTCGCTGGCTCAAATGGCTATTACAACTATAGACATCAGGTGAGATTTAGTATTTAATTTTTTATAGGGGAATTAAGCCATAAGCTTAATGGTTGCATTATGTGTATTGGCAAAACTAGGATAACTTGGCAATATAAACTGACCACATAGTGTAAGCTCACTGATTGTATGAAAGTGCAATACATTGTGAATAGAGTTTTCTCAGTTATCCCCAGTCCTCCTTTGCATTTGATTACTACTAGTGCTAATATATTATTATATATGTGCTAAGCAAGGGATAAACAGTTGACAGTTATGGGAAAAGAGGTGTACAAAGACATTTTTAATAAAATAGTCGAGTAAAAATAAAATAATGTAGTTCAGTCTACACAAAACGAGGTTGTTTTATTAAAAGGTAAGTTTAAAATATGACTTGGTTACAGAATTTGTTAGTACTTACACGACACTGCAATTTGACGGTTTGATTATTCAATCATAATTTTTGAGCAGTTAAATCATTCGGCAATAAAATTGCCATTGTTAATTATTTATCGCATTTTGCGGAGGTTGCGAACGCCAGTGCCCTATATATATAGGTATGAAATGCTATATTTCTAATGGGATATTAGCTCATTGTTGAAAAACGTTCTATTATTGCATTGTTATGAGGGGGACATGTAGAAAATCCATGTTGCCAGAGACCATGCAGAGCTCGAGGTTGACAGCTAGTCTGACATTGATTTTCAGGGTTCAAAGAACCATAAACTCATTGTTCCATGAAATCCAGGCGATGATTGTTTTGTTATACCTAAAATTAGGAGTATATATAGTACTATCAGGAGTGGAAATATAGAGATATATAGATATATAATAGATATACAACTTGTTTACCCGGCATTGACACGAGCAAGGCGGGCTGCCTCGCTCAAATTCTTAGCCGCCACACAGAAATTTGTTCAAAACACTGCATCGCGGACGAAAATCGCTGTTCTAGAACAGTGCTTTATAATGCACCAAAATAGCGTGGAATGAACCAAATTGCACAATTTTATAAAAAAAATTCTGGGGAGGGGGATGGCTTCGGACACACCTAGCTGGGCGAACACCTGATGTGCTCGCTTTGCTAGGACCTCAAAACGCGCACACACCCAAAAAAATTTACCACCTCACAGACCTTTTGTCTAGGGGAAACACTGGAGATATCTCTATATTAGACACTCCTGATACTAACACTAGGGCCAACTGTGAACAGTGTGACAGACCGCCAAGAGACAAAGTACTATTCCACATAGTAAAGCTCATAGGGTCTATGTCCCCCAGGGTACTGCCGGAATGTACCCTGGGTACGGTCCGGTATACCGGAACGTACCCTGGTCACTATTTGATATGGTTAGGGTTAGGATTAGGGTTAGGGTTAGGGTTAGGATTAGGGTTCGGGTTAGGGAGTAGGCGTAGGCGACTCCCTAGACTCGTTAGTGGAGTAGACGAGGTACGGTTCGGCATATTAGATAGTACCAGGGTACGTTCCGGTATACCGGACCGTACCCAGGGTACGTTCCGGCAGTACCCCGGGGGACATAGACCCTCTCAGCCATAGTAAAAGCGCAATTCAATTAACATTTTGCGCCAAAAATTTAGTAAACATCATCCCTAATTGTATTTCCAATGCATCGCAATCCTGAGAGATAGACTGAAATTTATGCACAAGATTGCACAAAAATTCAGCTATTTGTTAAAATAAATTGTAAAAAAATTTCGATGACACCTCCCAGCAGAAAAGAGAGTTATTTGTGACATTCCTTATGTTTTTACCATTATTACATTTAGGCAGATCTGATATATATACTGTCTTCATCTACTGGTTTAAACCTTTTGACACAGATCGTGTGCGCTATTTGTGGAGGAAGAATGTTTATGATTGGTAAAAGTATCACTTAGCAGGAAATATTTATTTTCCCATGAGCAATTTTGGTATTTATTTCCTGCCATGGCATGTGACATACTTTGTTATATCAATTCTGTCACGTTCATTCTACATTTACACGAAACACATTGCAATGTCAAGCAACACCTACAGTCCAGCATGCATGTGAAGATGTGCAGTGTGAAAATCTCTGTTACACCTGCTTGGGCAGATGTGCACCTGCGTGGGCAGTGTAAACACCTGCTGATGAATGCAGTAGATTTTCAATTGAGCTTTTTATTAGTAACTAGTAGTGAAATTATGATTAACTAATGTGAATTTTTCAATAAGGTTATATACACGTATCAGTTATTGTAGTGTAGCATTAGATAGGCTCATTCTTCCATTAATTAGATGGTGATTTTTTATTTACAGGCAGACATTTGCCATGCTTACCAGATTCTGCATAGCAATGGAATTCCAGATGAGCGTATCGTTGTAATGATGTACGATGATATAGCATATAGTGAGGAGTACGTATTAAACCATTACACCAAAACACATGTTGGGACAGGTTTTTTTGTGTGCACGATATTGTTGTCAACAGTTTTTTGCACTTCGGGAACACTGATTTTCACATAAGCTCTGTTGATACTTTGGCCACACTATTACCCTAATTGTGTTGTGGCTGTTTTCCTTGTAGTAATGATCATTGATAATAATTGACAATCAGACAGATTAAGATGAACAATTTTTATTTTTGAATATTTTATGTCAATATTTATTGGTAATACCATTGCTTTCTCTTTTATAGGAACCCTACTCAAGGTATTATTGTAAACCATATCAATGGGTCAGATGTCTACAGGGGAGTACCAAAGGATTACACTCAAGAAGTAGGTTCCGCAACTTTGCTGTTAATTAACTTTGCTGTTTGCATCAATTTAATCTAGATTTATAACCCTTTTCTAAATTTACAGAGAAAATAAATAAAAAAGGTAAGTAACAAATAATGTTAATGTATAACTCCATATAACTTAATTTACAACATTCTATTTAAAGCCGAAATTATCAACTAGTCCATATTATCAAGAGCGTATTAAGAAGGAGAGCGTACAACGGTGAAATGCTGAAACCATGTTGCAGTATTAGTTGAATTAAAAAACTGCCCATTTTATTTTGACGATTCTTTGTGGTATTATTGATCAGCTGTCCTACCTTGCTAATATAAAACAAACCGCTTGTCCCTACGATGCCCCTACGCTGAGATAATGAGCGGTGAAAATCTGGTATTTTTGCCGAAAACCGACTCGAGATCCCTTGATATTATATATGTGTGTGTGTATGTGCCTTGATCATATATCTTCCATCTCTATTGTAACCAACATAGCTCGTAAATATCATGTCTCCATATCTTGGGAAATATCAAGTGAACATTCTTTGGGATGTGCAGTTCTAGATTAATCTGGGTTTATTGCCCTCATCAAGAGAGAATATTTGCAAAGAATCATAAGATTAGGTCTGAAGCTATATGATCTGGCTGATCATAAGGTATGGTACTATGAAGCAATAATATACTATACTGCATGTTATGCTAATATAATAAATTATTTCTCAGTGCCCAAGCAGCCTTCACATAAGTTTCTTTTACTTGTAGACAATAATACCACCTTGTTTGTGCAGAGTGTATACTATCTATACAAATAGCTTTAACTATCTAAATCAATAAATCCTTGTATGTGTTTAAGATTATATCATGATTGTGAGTTGTGAAAGTACCATTGCTGATATCGGTCACAAGGCTAAGGTACCGGTACGCTGCAAAAGTAGCATCCATTATATAAGTCGTAGATATAACCATAAAAGTATGGCTGTGTATAAGTACTGTGCATTTGACTATGTCATATTAAACCAACATCAAGCCTGCAGGCCTCCATATTATGCAAAAAACTGTTGAGATACACGGTAACAATATACACAGCAGATGTATGTTAATTGATCCATCCAGTTGGAATGATCAATTTCGTACTTTACCTTTCATTTTATAACCATTTAAAGCTGCGGCCTCTATTATAAAAAAAATATGGAACCCAGCGAATGCATACAAAGCGCTAGTGCAGATCAACATCTAAGTAGAAAGGCTAGAAATGTAGTGCTGGTACACATATAAATCCTAAATCCTGCACAGGTTATCTACTTGTTTGTATGAGGCTTGATGTCAGGAAACACCAGGTAAAGCAATTCATTAGCACACGCTGTGCGCTTTCTGTATTATATCGGGTTTCTGCCACTGAACAATGTAAAAACTTTGTTTGAATGGGTGCTTAATGTAATTATAGCAAACTGTATTAGATCACACGTATATTTTGCTGACACTGTTTTCAGTGTGGTAAAATCTGACATGGGGCTGATGTTAAGCATATTTCAATCCAGAATATGTCATACGAGGTTGCTATACCATCAACAATAGTATTTTGTGAACTTGGAAGCAGGTTTTATAGATGTTAGGGGCATAATTAATGCTGCATAATTTATATGCATAAATTATAATTTAACATGTATATATGCATGTTAATACAAACGTATAGGTATACTTTATAATTTAAATATAATGTAAACAGTAATAAATTAAAATAAATTAATTTTTATAAGTTAGGAATTTTATTCTAGTTAGGTAACCTGTAATTTTAGTCAAGTTAAGTACTTATCTGAAGTTAGCTAACATATGCAAAGCTTACACCAGAATGAGGCAGAAGAGGCAGTAGAACTATATGGAGGATACTGCATGTTCTATTGACATGTCAAGTAATGGTTGCTTATATTACATAGCAGCAGGAGTCTATCAATATGATATATATATTGATAGACTCCTGATAGCAGTGATAGTAGCAATGTTAGTAAGGATTGTACACCTTCCAACATAACGGTTTCTTTTAGGATGTTACGCCGGAAAATTTCCTCAAAATTCTACAGGGAGATGAAGATGGCATGAAAGGGATTGGTAGTGGCAAGGTTATCAAGAGGTGATCTCTCAATTCATTATCAGATTTATGTTTACAGTATATCATCTGATTACATGAAAAGAGTAATACTGTAGAATTATTGGATGCTTAGAATTTCACATGGTCAATATCCCCTAGTAAATTTCACATGTTGCAGTGGTCCCAATGATGACGTCTTTGTCAACTTTGCGGACCACGGTGCGCCTGGAATTGTTGCATTCCCATCGGGTGAACTGACAGCTTCTGCTCTTAATGATGCCATCCAATCTATGCATGATGCCAGGAAATATAAGAAGGTAACTTAAAAGAGATGGAAAAACTGGTATCCCGTTGCATAGGGAGAGCAACCAAGCACATGTTTCATAATGTTGATAGGCAATTGTGAAATCATTTTACTATCACAAACACAACTATACAGTTTGCATGTTAATCGTAATATAAAACGATGTAAGCAGTTAAACAACAATTTGTATTTGAAGTCCTGTACTTGTACGTATGGCTGTAGTTGTGCTGTAATTAGAGGGAGAGCCTTTCCTATGTATGGGATGAAAGCAACTTTCTTTATGATCTTTTATTAATTTTCACCTTGCAGATGGTTTTCTATGTCGAGGCGTGTGAATCAGGATCCATGTTTAGTAACCTACTACCTACTAATATCAGTGGTGAGTATAGTTGTCATAATAGTATGAAGCTTATGCCTTATATACACCTGTATTGCATGTAAATATTTTTCATGTGAGTATGCCATGGGGGGTGTAGCAGCATAGTACTTAGTATTTCACTGCAGACACTTGCAAGTATGTATGCATTAATTCAATGTATAGCAAGCCTGAGTAACCATAAGTAATTCATTAGAAATATTCATCCGACATTGCCTGATCTATTTGTAGTTTATGCCACCACCGCTGCTAACGGTGAAGAATCTTCGTACGCTTGTTACTATGACGATTTTAGAGACACATATCTAGGAGACGTGTACAGTGTGATGTGGATGGAAGATTCAGATGTTGTAAGTAGAATACTAAATATTCGCGTGATCTTTTCAACTGTCAAGAGTTAAAAAGAACAAACTCGCATCTATCACTTAATAAGTAGTTATATTGCATGCATGCTATAGATACAACAACATATTCCGAGGATTTTTGATAAAATATTGGGTGCATTACCATATAACAGTGATACATTTAGCATGTTTGGAAACACCATGCATGCAAACTGTTTAGGCTGAGTGACCTGTTTTATATTCCCACTCTTGCCAAACATTCAGGGTTCTTCCCAGGAACTTCAACAGGCATGTCATTTATGGACTGATGGGAAAAGCCCGGGAGGGGGTTGCGCCAAATGAAGTCAATTACGTGTGTCATAATCAGCCCCAATACACACGTTATTACCAATTTTATATTGATCAGTTCAGGGAAATATATACATCAAGTTAAGAAAACACACCATAGCTGTATTTGGATTGTCAAAAGTAGTCGCCGCAGGAAATTAAGACATGTTGATTATGCAATTATGGAATGTCGAGGGTTTTATGAAAGTCGCAAATTAGCTTCAGCTTTCAAGGAATCGCAGACTCAGCATGGGTATAACCCTGCCATTATATTACGAATTCTAAGACGAGGGGAATCTGACCATTAAAATGGTACCTGGTATCAGATGACATCACAATTATCGCAAATATTGGAAAGCCTTGTTCTATCTATGCGATTACTATGACAATTACTTCTCACACTGTACAGGCGGATCTCTCAAAAGAGACACTCACACAGCAATATCAGACTGTGAAACAGAAGACCAATACTAGCCATGTGATGCGGTTTGGAGACGAGGTAAAATATTGCAGTTATCTAGTTGCTTTTTCTTACTGGCTGAATTTTTTATAAAAACATGTATAAAAGACTTGTACATGTAAATGACCATGGTATTATTACAGAAATATGAGGTCTGTTTAAAAATTCTGTATGTGTGTGACAATGTCATAGTCCTAATTTCTTGCCATAATTTTGTTCCATTAGTTTGTGTGTACATTATTACAAAACATGCATGTTAAATTAATGGCCAAAATGTTCAATCTTCCTTTTATGTGCAGTGCAATCAGGTTTGCATATGGAGCGTGGCTATGAGAATGATAGTGACCAAATTTGTTTGTTTTTTGCATCTTGCAGAGCATGGGAACTCTCCCATTAATCAAATTTGAGGGAGATGGTAAATCTGCCATTGCCAAGCCTTTGCAAGAACAAAAGACAGTTCCTGTATGTCTGCATTGATGTGTTATACTTATGTTGAACCTCATGTTATGTCACACAGCTGACACTTACACAAATTATAGCCTTGCTTGTCATTTTATGCCACAACTACTTCATCCAAGTAACAACTTGAGCAACTTTGATTGAATAATTTTGCGATAGTTGCTAATAATTGGTTTTAAAACAGGTCAATAAGGCCTTTGAGGAATCATTGACACTGGTTGTGCATGGCAATTACTTGGCACAGTGAATGTGTAAAATACAAGTGGATAAAAGAAGCAAAATGATATATGCCGATGTCACTTATTAATTAACAATGAACATAATTTTTCTGTGTAATCGTTGTTTTTGTCAGCTTGATGCCATTCCATCCCCTGACGTAAAGCTGTCCATTTTATCTAAACGGTGGACGAAAGCACCAACCGAGGCAGACAGACACAAGTACCACGCCCTAATAAAGCAAGAGCTCAAAGTAAGTATATCATGTAACATATTTATACATTTTATTGATTAGTCAATATCTGCACTTCCTGCCTTGTCGTCAACGTGTCAGGAACTACGTAGTATATATCAACCTTTTATGATGATGTGGTTAACTAATGTACTTTAACTGCATAATTTTATAATTTAGTTCTACCCTGTTAATCCAAGTGGGGTTTCTGCACTTCTGTTTTTAGCCTAGCCTTAACCACTCAGATTATACCTTATCACATTCATATTATCAGCAGAACGTAATAGGTGTCCAGGCCCCTCCCTACGTTGCGCAAACCGGGCGCGCGCGCCCCGATTGGGAAAACTCCCTCCCCCCCCCCCGTCTCAATCGTTGCGCCACGTTTAAATTACCTCCTCCCCGATTAAATTCCACCACAATAAAAGTTTGACAGCGCAGGAATCGATTTTTACAGTACCACTAATGCGTAAACGTCCTACACTACGCATGCGCTGCAGCCACACACAAGTACAAACAGTCACCCTGTCCCAAACCCTAACCCTAACACTGACTGTAAACTGACTCAGCTATCTTATATACAAGTGTTAAAGTACCAAATACCGTCTATGGTGTGGTAGCGATTTTACGCATTAGTGGTACGGTAAAAAAATGCCTCCCGGACCCCCCTAGTTTCCCCTTCCCCTGTTTCAATTTCATCCTGGGGAGAACCCTGGCTGTCTTATTAGCTCATCTGACATAGTCAGATGCAGCTTGTAGAATCGCATGATCGTCCGTCCGAGCGTCCGTCCGAGCGTCCGTGCGTCCGTCCGTCCGTGCGTCCGTCAACAGTTGGGCACAAATCTAAACGGCTCGACGTACGGTCACGATATTCGGGACGTGGGGGGTAATCCGAAAACGAGTTGGGATGTCGAAGCTGGGGGTCAAAGGTCAAAGGTCAAGGAAGGTAAGGTGTAAAAGAAGGGGGAACATTCCCTCCTGTAACTAAGTATAGGGAGGAACATGCAGATTGCGGCACAAACTAAACGGCTCGACCATAGGCTGTGATAGTCGGTGTATATGCATCATGGTAAAGGAAAAGCCATCACTGTGCCAATATTGAGGTCACAGGTCAAAGAGTCAAATGGGCACCGGCAGATATTAGACATTTTCTGAGGACATGGTGTGACCGAGCGATTGAAAACTTTTTTGTTATCAGCGGTGACCTATACCATTTTGATGGCTTTATTGAACAGGACCACTGAATGTGCTTCCACTGCGTGCAAAGAAGAGTAAGTGTCTGATAACCTTTTGACCGGCCTCATGAGGAGGGTAAACATGGATCTTGTTGACTGTTGTAACAAGAGAGTGAAAACTGCTTTTGCTATTAGAGCGCCGCCTCCCGCCCAACACTATCCCCCCTCCCGCCACCCTCCCCCCGCCGCCTCGTACCCCAACCCTCCCCCACCTCCCCCCTCCCCCACCCTTACCCCTACCCTCCATCCTGCGATAGTGGGCTTGTCCGAAAATAAATGATAACAATGATGTGTACGCAACTGCGTGTCTGCATATCTGCGCCTAACAAATGTGGTACTACGCACGACTGAAATTTTACGTTTATAATCGTAGCAACACACCTCAGATGAGCCCAGACGCTCTGCAGCTCTTGTTATTCTGTTTATTATGGTTAATGAAAGTTCACATTGCCAGTTTTGCAGTTCTAATAATTTTCACACACATTTGACTGCAGCTAAGAGAATATATAGACACTCGAATGCGCCAGGTAGTGGACTTCGCTACAAAAAGCACAGAGCAGGCTGACAGAATCATGAGCGTCCGTCACCAATTACGAGACCATGACTGCTATGAACCAGTCATGCATCACTTCAGCACTACCTGCTTCCCATTGCACAAGGTTTGTGAAATATGCATTCCTTAGAGAAAGTCTGTGCTGTCATTCACTCAGTTAAAGCAATATTTATAGAATGGTATGTGCTAATACGATGTGCTAAACTGCAATTCCTGCTAGGAATTTGTCGTTTTTAATTGTATGTGATCCTTAAACATAGCAGTAAAGTGGTTTTTGTGTGCGTTCCTGCGTGTGTGCGTGCATGTAGGGGGTAGGGTGTTAACGTTAGATGTACTGTATAGGCATACTTTCTGTTTAATTTAATTGTTGGGGTGCATAGTGAAAAGGCCAAACTTACAAAATGAGTTACTATGTCAGTATATGCATAAAAATACTAAATAGTAGGGCTGTAACGATACACAAGCCTCTCGATTCGATCCGGTTCTCGATATTGGCCTCTCGATTCGATTCCTTCGATTCGATTCCCAAAATATTGAAATGTTATCTTATTTTTTATATTTTCATTATTTTGCAATAATAAATTATTAGAAATTGCCAATGAATACTAAATGGTGAATAGACTAGAGAGTCTAGAGAGTATATGTACGCTGCACAGTCGCTAAGTAACATTGGTGAGTAACACCAGAGCATATAAATCGGTGATTTATATGGTCTGGTAACACCCCACAGTATATAGCGTAGTGCCGCCATCTATTGGAGGAAAAAAGTGGTATCGAAGTGGAATCGAAAATACGGGGAAAAATATCGAGGATCGGATCGAGGGAAGAGAATCTCGATCCGATTCGATTTCGGTGGATCGTTACAGCCCTACTAAATAGACCAATTGATTTGCGTCTAGGTGGAGTATGCACTACGGCAACTGTACACGCTAGTCAACCTGTGTGAAGAGAACATTCCTCCATCTATGACCATTGAAGCTATCGATGTAGCCTGCCTCCACTAACTACTCGTTATCAGCGATGCCGGGAAGAAAGCGTACTGTTACCAATAGCCATATATTACTCTATGAGTGTGCTAAAATGATTACTCAAAACCCATGGCTAATTATAAGAGAATTTGTGATATTCAATGTTAACTGATCATGTTGATCATTCATTTGATTGCTTGCAGTGTATTTCTTAAGATGTGTTAGGTATTGAAGGATGTGGCAATGTGAAATTTTATTGCAAATCTGTGGTATTATTCATATTCTTCACTTGTACTGACTGATGCTTAAGAATGTATAGTAATGATGTGAAGACTATGAAATGCTAACAGCTTACAGTTACTGTGCCAAATCCAGGCCAACTATTACCACTAGGAAGTGCAGCGTCCATAAATTCAATGCTTTTCTGTAAGCAATAAATACTATTAATTTGATATCTAGAAGAATTGGATACGATTATAGTTTTCTATAACTCATGAGAAATGTGACATACACATGGCATGTATGATGTACCAGTTGTGAAATTGGATTGTTAAATACTCAACAGTGATGTGTAGAAGTATGGTTATGCCTCATAATTGGAAACTATAAATGCGTATTTTTGGTATTATATGTGTTGTGGTAAAATGCCTTTTACTAAAATATAGAATATGATTTTTGTCCTATAAATTGACTGATGGTGTTTTGAGTGTAATTACCTGAAGATCAGATGCAATTGTTTTGTATAATGAGGTTTTACTAATTGGCTCAATTTTGTAAAGGTGATGTATACTTGTTATCGATTATTGATGGAAATATATATATATATATAATATATATATATTACATGTTAAACAAATAAAATTAATTCTGCTAAATATATTGTTTGACTTGTAATTACTTTATATTTAATATAATTTGTATTGTTTCATTCCCCCTGTTATAATTATACTGGTGTTCTACCATTAAAGTATGGACATAAATTTTCTATGGTTGGTAACCTTCTTAATCACTCAAGTCAGCAATTTATCTTGTCTACTAATGATGAATTTGCAACATTAACCAGATTTCGTTAAATCCCCATCCTCAATGACAAGTCATTCTAATCAGCAATGGTAAGGTATGGAATACACCTACATTACAATCCCATGATGTAAATTCCATGGCGTGTCTGTAGGCCTATTGTGTGTACTGAACACCACAATGATAAAGAAGTGTATTCAGTAACCCGCTTTAATCAATATCACCGTAACGATACTTATATCAGTAACGTATATTATCTTGAAATGAGAAACATAAAAAAATCGGTAATTTGTTATTCATTTTAATACATTAACATAAATGTAACAAGTACATTAAATGATCCGTTTCTAGCGGTAACACCTCCACAAACTCCGCATAACACCCTATTATTACCTTAGCTCAGGCCCTTTAATATTTACAGTATAACAAATGCATTTCTCCAAAACAATCATCATTCGGAACGCACCAATACCAGTTATAAGTATAAACTACTTGTCACGTAAAATAAACAATTTTGCAGATGATGTTAAACTTTGCCAAATCATGCAGATTGTTCAGGAATGCGTAGTTTTCCCAATACAAAACGTGGAAACGGTTTTCAGAACTTGTTAACTATAATGCTAGACTAAATCTACATTTGGACTGCACGTTTCATATGACAAATAATTTGTATGTGTTTATTTATTTGTGATTATAGAATTACCACTTAACATATTGGTTACCGATTTATAAGTGCAGATAAATTGTGTAAATGAGTTGCAATTGACAATAAACAACCACCTTCATACTGTTTCCATATGAATGAAGATTATAACATACATAACAGTAATCTTTCTGTAGTTTACAACTCATTGAATATGAGTTCCTATATTAAATTTAATGCTTATTTTAGCTATTAAACACAAAACATGCCGTGGGAATAAATCTAATATGGAATGGAGACTGTGCGAACCATGCCCACTCTGACTCTGTGTATAATGTCAGGAAATACGTCATGATTTTCAATTTTTATTTACGAGTTACAATAGATCTAAATACAGATGTATTCATTTATCGTCTACGCTCGATTTTATCACACATATCGTACAATTACCATCACAGCACAGTTACGTGCTGCTATCAAATCCTGTCTTACTTGTTGAGTACATTTTAAATCATACACTTCCTAGCACAGTAAACCAATACAAGTTATTACATGTAACATTTGACACAGCCACAAGTAGAAGTCATTTCTGACACTGGCACGGTTAAGTTTCTCATGTACTTTGGACACTGGCACGGTTAAGTTTCTCACGTACTTCTGACACAGGTACAGGTGATTTGTTGTACGTAACTCTCGTTTGATATGCACACCCACACACAGACGTGATAGCATGAAACTGTGGGTAGAGCTGCTTGGTTCAGTTGAGAAAACGAATGCTCATCTTCGTTTCCACGTCAATCCTTTGCACTGCCTGTAAAAAAAACGACAAGTCAAACTAATTCTAGAAACATATTAATGCCCTTCACATGTACACAACATAATGATGTAAGAGTATAAAGTTGGCATGTTTTCTGATAAGCAAGGCAATTCAGCTGGTTTAAAATTCCATCAAGAGATTATCACAACACATATTATCTTCCCTACGTTACCTAATCCTGTTACTAATCGCCTGTTATTCAACCACATTACAAAATTTTCAAAATTCTCTTGTGGCAAACCTGTTTGCCTAGCGCATCTTCTGACGAATTTCTTATTCATTCCTCACCTTTACCAAACATTAATCCTTAAGATATACTATGCCATGGCCACCAGGATCACAGGGCTGCCAACATTGGGTGATAGGTGAGAGTGAGATGCGAGGGAGCGAAGCGACCGAGGGGGGGAAGGGGGTTTCCCCCCTCCCACGGTAGGGAGCTTTTGCATTTTATAACTTCAATTTGTGCAATTTGGTGCATACTAAAGTGACTGTTTTCAGATATTGTAAGATTTTTTTTGCTGTGCGTGAGATATTTCAGCGTTTTATTCATGCATGCGTGAGATATCTCAGCATTTTTTTGCTGTGCGTGAGATATTGTAAGATCAGCGTGAGAGCGTGAGATTGGTCAAAATGCGTGAGTCTCACGGTCAATGCATGAGAGTTGGCAGCCCTGGGATCATTTCATGGATTACACCAACCTTGCAAAATTCATCAAAGCTGATCATTGTGTCACCATCAGTGTCGGCCTCGGCTATTGTCCGGTCTGCTATGCTTCCCAGCTGTCAAAAATATTTAGCTAGTGTAACAAGAGATGAACAAGACAGTGTCAATCTGTTAAGTACTTGACCTATGGGTGTGAGACTTTACATAACATGTGTAAACTATTACGAAACAATTCAAATAAAGCTCTACTAGTTAGACTTGTGTTTTGGCTGCTTTTGTAGATTTACCATAACGAAATACAGGCATTTATACACCACATTTCACTGTTAGTTGTTATTGTTAACAAAACGGGTCACTCATATTTAGCTACTGCACAGCTCATCAAGTTACAGAACCTAGCAGTAGCCTTCAACATTAAAACATGAATAAATGATATATTGAATAATAATTTGTGAATATGAATTACAAGTACAGATCATTTTACTGTGTTCACATGCGGCAATTGTTCATAAGTATGTTTACCAACTACCTTTCATTGGCAATACAACACACCCAGTGGAGTAGCCAGCATTAAATCTAAGGGGGGGGGCGGGTGCATGTTGTTGGCATGTTTTATCGACTTGAAACAGTCCTGCTGGTTTAAATAAGGTAGCCTTCTAAATCTTAGGGGGGGGGCGACCGCCCCCATCGCCCCCCCCCTGGCTACGCCACTGAACACACCTACTTTATTTAGACGAACCTAAAGAGAGTGCAATGGTAAGTGTTTTGGAGAAGGAACAATTAATTGCAAGTATACCAAAGAATAAACCGAGACACTGTAACATAGAAAGTAATTATGTTCATATCTTGTGCAGTTACGGTTCAGGGTCTCAAGACTTCTAAGAGGAATATTGTAAGTGTACCTGTTCTTCGGAGATATTTGTTCCAACCATCATGTGAAGTACTGCAAGCAGCTCTGATCTATTGATTTTGTTGTCCTCATCAAGATCGTACATCCTGAATGCAACTGACACGTAGAAGCAGACAAGGAATCATACATATTATCAGGAGTAGATAATAGGGAATTCCCTATTATCTACTCCTGATATTATAAATCAATAGATTCACCAATGCCATAAATTAATTATCTACAATGTTGCTTTTACATTTTAATTTAATACAACATAAAGTAGCATTATATGAATAGGTTTAGTCATGTGAATGAGTAGTTTCAACAATTTTAAACCCATCATATTCACTTACATTTCAACTTCTCTTCTTTGCTGTTTAGCTTATTGTCTTTATTCTTGCTTAGTGGACGGAACCTCGCCAAAACCCGCATGAATTGTCTGAAGTTCACAGTGTCATCTTGGCTGTAAATTACATGCACGGTTATTTTTAATAAGCAAATACTGCACACGATTCAATAAAAGACCAAAAAAATTATATCCATTTTCTTCTTCTTCTTTTATGTTCGGACTGCCATCATAATATCGAAGATATCCTTCACGATAACTTTACCTTTACACATGTTACATGTTTTATGTGCTTGCATATTTCATTGTGAATTTGTATACGAAAAATTTCATGTACAAATTATGGTTGTCCACGTATATCACAAGTAAGTTGAATATATTATGGACAGCAGTGGCGTACGCAGGGGGGGGGGGTCCAGGGGGTCCGGACCCCC